CGTATGTCACCATGTTAAATTCCTATGTACGATGGGCGTGTAGGGGGGGGGGGTCAATTTTTGACCAAAATTTTGCGTACGTACTTTGTGCACACCGCCTTATATGCCGTAATATGAAATATTGAATGCATTATACTATTAGAATATGGATTATAATTATATATTAACTTTTCATTAATATCTCAATTAAAGGCCGAATTCTAAATAAGTTCACTAAAGATATGGCTCTAATGGATGAAAGTTTGCCCTTGGTCTTAAGTGATATGATAGGAGTAATTATAAGATTTTATTATTTATTAAAAACAAATTATTTCAATTTTAATTTTTTCATACAAACAGAGAATATTTCTGATAAGTGCGGCAATAATTGTCGTTTCATTGGTTAACATTTATTCAATAATTCCGGCGATTATTATGATTATAATTGTTTCATACATTTGTTGGGTTTATATGAAGACAGCCAGAGATTTGAAGCGATTTGAAAATATACGTAATTATGATTTATTTATTACTTTCTAATTAATTTAACATTATAAATATTCAAAGAAATAATTCAATGCAAAGTTTGTATTACAAACTATTAGAAAAAATATTGCTATATTGCAATATTAGATATCTAACGTTTTATAAGAAATAACTGAATCCATAATTACTGTATACGTATACGGGTACACAAAATTGAAATACATTAATGTGTTAGTGAGAAGTCCGATGTTGGATCAGATCACCACAACCATCAATGGTTTGGTTACGATCCGGGCATTCAGAGCAAAGGATCATTTCTTGAAAGACTTCCATCGCTTTCAAGACAATCACACCACCAGTTATGTCATGTGTTTCTCAGCCTCCAGAGCTTTTGGTACAGATAGTCATTATTTGAATTTGAAAAATGAATTTTTAAATTATAATTTCTAATAATTAAAAGGATTTCTATTGGAAATCGTATACTTATTTTACATGATTTTTGTGGTAATTATGTTAATGGTATTCAGTGATGGTATGAATTTATTTATAAAATTTAAAATTAATAATTTATTTCAATTTTCATATTTATGTCTACTTTAAAGGTATGGGCGGAGGAACGGCTGGTCTTATATTGAATACAACTATGGGTTTAATGCATACCATTCAGTATGCCGTCAGAAATGCCGCAGATTTGGAGAATCAGATGACATCAGTTGAACGGATCCTCGAATACAGTGAACTCGAGTCGGAAGAGTCGCCTAAAGAGGCGGACAGTCGTCTCAATGTATGCCCCGATTGGCCACTCGAGGGAAGCATTCATTTCCAAGACGTTTGTCTCACTTACGAGAACTCAACGAATGAGACGTTAATTGAAATCAATTGTCAGATTAAAGGCGGAGAGAGAGTGGGAATCGTCGGCCGAACCGGCGCTGGAAAGAGCTCTCTATTGGCGGTACTCTTCCGTATGCATCGATTCAAAGGCAGAGTCACTATCGATGGCACAGACATCACGACAATACCTCT